GAAGTAGAAGTTACATTTCTGAGTTCAGAGTTTCTATTTCAAGGTTGACTAAGTAGTAAATTCTTAGGGAGAGATTCTAGCCTAATAGAGTCAGATTTTCAAGGTCCCCCAGCCCATCCCCTGGGCATTTCACTTGCCTGCGTGCCTGGCAACTTCAGCTCATTTCTAGAGGTGGGTCTCCCAGTTCTTTATATTGGCATGAAAACAATTAATAATTTAAGTCATCCCCATTAAAAAATAGAAATACTGTATAAATGCAATACTGTAATAATAAATTTAAAAGTCGATCCAGCTGGGCACTGTTCCCAAACTACCAGCCAAGCAGAAACACAAGTAAAGAAGAAAAACTGCTATATAATACAAATGGATTCAATCTCATTGTTTTCTGCTACTCTTATATTGCAAATATACAGAATTGAAGTTACATTGCAAATAAATAGGTTTTGTGAGTTAAAACCTGGAGACTTAATCACTGTTTATAACATTATTTCTATGGGGAGAAAAGTGTATTCCATATTACAAACAGAGGGTTTGCAAGCCAATTTTTGGAATACAATAGATTTGTGAGCTGGGGGGCTTCCTGGAATCTTAACCTCTAATTGGGTGTTTTGTATTCAGGGCTAGTGATGGGTGAACATTCAAGGCCTCTGTATTTGCCTCCCAAATCCGTTCTCCCCTCTTCATTCTGGAGGCTCTGTCTCACCTTCTCCATTCTAAGCTCCTGGGGTCTTCATCTCTGTCGCCTTGTTCTGGCCCAGCCCCACCCTCCAACCACAATAGGGCCCAAGGAAGCCAGGAGGAACTCTAAATGTCATTATTTTTGTGCACCTTTTTAAATGGCAGTTAGGAGCCTGGCCGGCTACAGTCTATGAGGTCGCAAAGAGTCAGACATGACTGACATGTCGTAACACGTGGGGCTCACAGATGACCGTTCAGCCGAGTGGCCAAGTGTGTGGCTCTGAAACCAGACTTCAGACACTTGAAGCTGTGAAACCTTGGCACGTTGTAAACACCTCTCTGAGCCTCCATTTCGTCCCTATAGAGCAACATGGTTTTGAGGACTAATGTGTGTGCATGCTCAGTCTTGTCTGACTCTTTGTGACCCCTGGCTCCTCCTGAAGCCCTCCAGGCTCCTCTGTCCATGGAAATTTCCAGGCAAGAATACTGGAGCTGATTGCCATTGCTCCTTCGGGGGATCTCCCCAGCACAGGGATTGAACCCGCATCTTCTGCGTCTCCTGCATTGGCAGGTGGGTTCTTTACCTCTGAGCCACCTGCGAAGCCCATGAGGACTAACAGAGGACTGCCCATAAACCCTCAGGACAGTGGCAGGTCCCCCCAGGTAGATACCTGGTGGGGCGGTGACTCAGGGACATCGGGCTTTAGAAACATTTCCACGAACTCAGGAAGCAAACACACTGTCGGCAGATACTTTCTGAATTCGAAACAGCAAACTTAGATAAGTGTCTGGAATCTCCCTGTTCAGAGTTTTGAACAAACTAGGAGTTAAGGGGAAGGGGGGGTGGTCCACATACGTATACAGTTGAGTAACAATCTCTAACTCTTATTATTTTGAACAGGTTAAGCTCTACAGTAGATATTATGAACAAGCCTTCTTAAGTAGTTTAATTCACTAAATTGAATTCATGGTCCTTTCACCTAGTAAAAGTTTTTTTTTTAATTAAGTTTTGGTTTTTGGCCTTTTTTTTTTCCTTCAGGCGGTTTTTTCTATCCATTAGTGCGGATTCTATTAATTTACGAGTAGGCTAGTGTCTGCATGTTGGCCTTACTTTGTAGGCATGAAATCTAGCTGGATGTTAGGGCCATAAAAATATTAATTGGAAGTCCTAGAACTTTGGGAAAGACCCTCCATGGAGAGTGGGGCAACAGCATAAGATAAGAAAAGCAAATACATGTCTGCTATTTTTTTTTTCCAGAATATGCTCATTCTAATTTGAATCCCCTTTTCCTCCTATCTGAAGAAATTATCATGAAGTCAGTTAAGAAATCAGCCTATCTGAGGTTGCTTCACTGAGGATCAGCCTTGCCGAGACCTGAGTCTGAAAATGAGATTTTAATTTTATTTGGGCAAAGGCTTAAGTGTCTATGCACTTCACCATTGCTTTTGTGAATGTATAGGAACAAGAGTGATGGCTTTCAAAAAGGACCATTTTGGTTTTGTTTACTAAAACATGGGAGCTCCGAGGTCTGTTCCCCCCCTGGAGAAAGTTTGTGTGGGTAACATGCTGTCATGAAGATTTTATCATCTGCAGTATTGAAGAAGTAATAAGATATTGTTGTTGGTTGACTATCTGGTTATACGTTCTTGGCGTTATGGTTTGCTTTTTAATTTTTATTTTTCAGTTGGCAAGAAACAGGGCATGAGATCTCAAAGGTGTTTTATAAACCAGGAATTTATGTTTAGTTGCTTAACATTGTTCAATTTTGTTTTTGCCTTATACAAAATAGGAAGTGAAAGGTCTAAACATATATATATATTTGTGTGTGTGTATGTGTGTATGCTTCAGTGTTAAGTCACTTCAGTCCTGTCTGACTCTTTGCAACCACATGGACTGTAGCCTGCCAGGCTCCTCTGCCCATGGGATTCTCCAGGCAAGAATACTGAAGCGGGTTGCCATGCCCTCCTCTGGGGGATTTTCCTGACCCAGGGATCAAACACGTGTCTCTTATGTTTCCTGCGTTGGCAGGCAGATTCTTTACCACTAGCACCACCTGGGAAGCCTATATGTGTGTGTATATATATATAAACATGTATTTTTTCCCCAAAAGATAAACTGAAAACCTTGAAAACCTCAGTTTCTAATTTGTCCCCTCTCTAGCCCCCAATTCAAACTTTTAAAAGTAGTCTCTTCACTGTAAGTACAAGTCAGACATAAACCCTAAGGAAACTCTAGAAAGAAAACTCACCTACAGAAAGGACTTATAGAGATTTCATATTTCATCCATTCATTCAAAAATGTTTGTTGAAACCCTAGTATTTGCATATCATGTTGTCAGACACTGAAAGATCTGCAGAAGAAATATTAAAGACATTCTTCCTTCTTTTGAGGAGCTTACAGCTTATTGGGGGGCATGACATAGACACATAAAACAGTTAAGTTGTAATTCAAGGTAGCATATGATTAAATACCAAAACGTGTGGTTCCAACAAGAAGTGCTATAGGAGTTCAGAAAAGGGAGTGATAATTCAGTGGCACTAGTGTTTTCTGCCTACAAATTGGCAAATTGTAGCACTATTTGTATGAAATATTTTACACTTGTTTTTTTGGCAGCCTTAGGCCTTGACTCCCAGGCAGTATTAAAAGCCTACAAAAACATTTGTACTCCGCTCTCTTTAGAACTGGCTTTTTTTTTTTTTGGCCTCCTTTTAGACAGAGGAAGTGCCTTATACAAACTGGAATGCCCCTGAGAGAGAGGCAGGTCTTTTTTGACAGTCATCATCGCTTTCTAATACAAAACGGGGAACCAGCCTTGTCCTGTGTGTTTCAATCCAGCAGAATGTGTCCCTCCATTGAAAACTCTCCCTGACATTGAGAGGAGGTTTAATTTGAACTTAATGTCCGTGACGGACGAGCTAGCCATCAAGGGTCAGATAAATTTATGACTGTGGAGAATTGCTGATGAAAATCCCTGTGGTCCTGATGTTGGAGAAGGAGCCGACACAGGTGGAGGAGAGCTTGGACACAGATGTGCTGCCTTGGAAGCAGGGTTCCCCGAGATGGGAGAAGATGATGACACGCTGAAAGAATTGCACTTGGGGGTGATGTCTAATGAAACTCACTGGCTTCCTGTTCTATTTCTGTCATATTCAAATTAGCGCAGCGCTCAAAGATGAAGCTGTGAGGCCTAAATTTATTCTTAAGAATTTTTAAAAAAAGAAGAAGAAAAAGAAATAAAATGCTTGTCAAATATACTGTTTTGGACCACACTTGTCTCCACTCACTTCCTTTCAGGGACTCCCCAGAGTTGAATGAGGTTATTATTTAGTTGCTTTCAATCTCATGTGATTCATGAATTTTCAGTTTCTTTTAAAACTTACTGGTTCTCCTCCACCGCTTCATTTTAACCTTGGACCTCAAGAAGGCAGAGGTAACAGAGGTTTTGTTCTTTCCTTGATACCATTCAGTAGAATGTCTGTGGAGTCCAACACCATTTGGAAACCAAGTGACCTTTGGCATTCATTCTTGTTGAGTTGGCTGCCCTGCTGGTGAGGCAGTCTCATGACCTAGAGTGACCAAGACAGGCATAGGCGAAGCAGTGATTTCACCTTCAGCTTATGATGGTGTTTATCAAAGTAGCTGGTCCTGACCACAGCTTAAGATTTCTTTGGGGACATCCTCTGGGCTGGCTGACTTGGGGAGGTGGCCCTGGCAAATGTTTCACCCAATATCTTTTGATATAATTTGGTATCTGTCTAAATAAATGTAATGTAGCAGATGGTTCTGGAATATCTTATCAAATTCTTGGGAAGACTCTGCCCTTGCAATATGTTTATTTGATTATCATACTGCAAAGCACAAAAATGGTCGCTTCATTTTTTTTTTTTTTTAAGCAACAGCAAAAGTTACACAATAGGTTGCTATTCTGGAAATGAATGGCAAACCTAAAATGTTTACGATGTGTAAACCTTTTCTTGGGCTGTTCTATGCTACGTTTTTCTAGAAGGTAGCTCTTTAATTTTAGAATCCAGGAGAGGATGTGTTTTGGATGTATTTGCAATGTCATCTTGAGAGATGGCTCAGGAGTCTAAGTTCAACATGTCCACATTTGTTCTCAGCTCTGAGACATGATGGAAAAAATGCTCTGCTGGTTTCCTGTTGCTTTTCATGGTTTTAGCATCATGTTCTTATTCTCACCCGAAATCAATAATCCTCATACAAAGTCTGGCATCTTGTACTGAAGCCAAGTATGAGAAAGTTTTAATGATGCATGTTTGGGGTTGCTGCTTTGCTGCCCCCTCCCTTTGTGTTTTTTTGATAGGTGTACTTTTAAAGAAGACTGTGAGCATTTAAATAATTCAGAAAACTGGCTGGATATTTTATCTGGAGCTAAAAAGTGCCCTCAAATTCACCTAATTCGAAGCAGTAAAGATAAGGTAAGAGGAAAGATTTTTAATTTGTCTCTATTTTCTCATTTTAGTCAACTGATGCCAACTTCCTTCTGTGTGTAAAATACCTATTAATGATCAAATAAGCTTAGTTATGAGAGTTCACTCAGTTAACTGATACTGTGTGAGCACCAGTTCCTGTGCATTCTGCAAGGTGATGGGGAGATAGCGGAGAATGAGATGCATCATGAACCTGCCCTCATGGAGTTTGTCATCTTGTGGAGTTGAAGATGACCATCGGTTGTTGAAATTAAGGGAAAAATGGACTAATGTCATTGAAAAACATTGATTTAAAAAAGAAGGAAAAAAAAGTTCAGATTCATGGTCAACAAGATTCCTTAAGTGCGACTTAAGTACTGAATTTTATTTTGTTTTTTAGTTCCTTTTCTTGATGTGTTCAGGTTTTTGACAACTGTCTTACGTGCATGCCTTCAGGTGATATTGATAGGGAGAGAAAGCAATACGGGCAGTGAATATTGCAAGGGGGGGGGGTCCCTTGAAAAGTGCACGGGCTCTTGCTATGGCAGTACTATACCGCCTTTGGCAACACATCAGCCCTGTCATTGGATGAGAGAAATGAAGCAGCGTGAGCATATTCATGCATTTTCTGATTCACATACCAGCCTCGCCCCATGGGAAAATGGAATTCCTGCCTTGCAATCTCAGTGGCTGTAAGGAGACATTTTCTCCCTAATTACAGCTCTTGTATTATGAATAACTATACAGAATCACCATCAGCAGCCAGTTGACCTGTCTGCTGAGCTCACTCTGTTTTATTTGAATGCCACATTAACAAGGAGATGGGCCACTTTCTCTTTCCCCTTACACTTTGCCATTTCAAATAGCAAGAACCGTACCACTTAAGATGATTTAACATTTAATAAAAGAGAGCTAGAGCATTTAATGAGTGATAAATAATAAAAGAATCAAGCTTTCAGGTCATAACTGATCAGAACTCATGGATTTCAACTTATTTGGCTGTTTTTACTTTCTATTGCCCTCCCGAGGGTGAGGGTGTGGAGGATGGGTTGGGGAGTGCCCTCCCAAAAAAACCCTTCAAAGCTTTCATCCAAACCTCCACTAGACCTGCACTAGCATGAGCAGATTCTGTGGGAAAAGATGCTTAGGTATCTAAGTATAGGTGTGGCCAAATTTTTATTTCTGTTATCAGTCTGAAAAATAGCTGACTTTAGTGCTGATAGAGACTACTAGAAAATACCGTGATCATTGAATATACCCAGGACTCTGATAAGTGGTTATGATTACGCATGGCTTTTTTTCTTTTATCGTTTTGAAAATGTTAAGGGGAGTACTTAAGCTAAGTGCAGTGAGGGAAAGTAAGCTGTTCATTGACTAAAAAGAGCAGCTTACAGTTTGCTTACCTATCTTTGGGTTCACCAGCATAAATTAATCACCATTCACATCTAGTCTGGAACATGTTTACCACCCAGAGAACCACTGGTACTTTCTTCCCCACCTGGAGTCCCACTGTGGTTTACCCTAATCCCTCTAGAGTCTTCCCACACAAACACTCTCCAGCTCACCACCACTCTTAAGGTTAAGAAGATAAGAGTTTAGCGATTTGAGTAAAGCTATTCTTTGAAGCTAACTCTGGGCTGATTATTTTAGTAACATTGATAAGATGTCTGTCTCCAGCTCTTGGTCATATTATTTCAAAATATTTCCTGTCTTTATGGTTAACTGTGACTTCATGAGAGTCTCAGATCCTTGGTTATTTAAGTAATTTCTTATCCTGAACCTATAGAGCTGTAAGTCTATTGTCTTCTCCAGTTCTAGCTATCACAATAACTTGGTTCAAAGAGCGTTTGCTCACTGCAAGTAACATTCTAATACCTTTCTTGGTACAAAAAAAAAAAAAAATGCATATAATACAGAGCCTCTTGTTTACACAAGACAATTAGAAAGTAGTATATTCTCATCCTTGTTATGAATTTGGCATTAAAAAGAGAGAAGTAGAGCAATTCTAATTGCCATGGAGGAATATTATGAGATTTTGTTAAATAAAAATATCAAGATGCAGAAAAGTATATCTAGAGTGGTCTTATATTGATCCAAAAATGTCCCTCTATATGTTTATGACTGTGTCTCTCTATGATTAGTTGAGCATAGAGAAAAAGGTGAGAGAAATCATACTAGGTTGTAAATTCATACTAGGATTCATACTAGGCTCCCATGATGAAACAATTCATGTGGTGGAGGAAAGGTCAGAGATAGATTTAAAAAAGAGAGACGACTGAAATCCTCACATACACAGACACACACCAGAAGGGATGCATGGCAGCCCATTTTTACATTATGTAAAATTATATGTTTGGCTGTGAGAGCTGGACAATACAAAAGGCTGAGTGCCAGAGAATTGATGCCTTCGAATTATGGTGCTGGAGAAGGTTCTTGGGAGTCCCTTGGACTGCAAGGAGATCAAACCAGTCTTTCTCAAAGGAAATGAACCCTGAATATTCATTGGAAGGACTGTTGGTGAAGCTGAAGCTCCAGTACACTGGCCAACTGATGAGAAGAGCTGACTCACTGGAAAAGCCCCTGATGCTGGAAAAGATTGAAGGCAGGAGGAGAAGGGGACAACAGAGGATGAGGTGATTAGATGGCATCACTGACTCGATGCGCATGAGCTTGGGCAAACTCTCGGAGAGTGAAAGACAAGGGAAGCCTGGTGTGCCACAGTCCGTGGAGTCACAGAGTTAGACATGACTGAGCGACTGAACAACAATACCTATAAAGAGATTTTTAACAGTAAAAATGGTTTATACTAATAAAAAGAGAAAAGATATAGGAATAAAAGTATTCCCCACAAATAGCATGGTTCCTCAAAGAGGAAACAGAAACATTCTTTTACAAATCAGAACAGAAACATGGAATTCTGTCACTGAAACAACCAACATTGTTTTTAAAGTTGTGTCCCATGCAGTAATACAAGAAACAAGTGTTAGTAATATAAATAATTATTGGAATGGAATAGACAAAAATATTATTTGCTCATCTTAAGTGGGTGTATTGATATATCTGTAAAATCTAAATATATTAGCTTTTAAAACTATTCAAATTAATAAAGGTCAAATAAAGTGCTAATGTTCAGTAAACGTTCAAGTATCAATAACCTTATGACATGTAAGACAAACTGTTAACACATTAATAAAAGATCCCAGTCATTAAGAACAATGGAAATACTCAGGCTCAAACCTGCAGAGTGAGGTATGTACGTTGAGTTTTAAAATTCTTTTTTCTGGGAGATACGTGTTGAAGTCACCTACCAAAAAGGTGATTTTGACTATGCAACAGTTTTACTTAGTTTTTTTCTAATAGTAATTAGATAGTGAGGCGGTGGTCTATTGAGGCTAATTATAATTCATAATAAGGAAATCTTATCAATTAAAAGTGTAAACAAATATAAAAATAAAAACAAAAAACAGGTATTTTCTTGAAAGATATGAAAAGCGTGTTAAATATATCCAGACATATACTATGTGTCTTGGTGAGACAATATCACAAAAATGTCCTCAGTCTGTTGTCTAAATTTCATGTCATCCCAGTAAAAATTTGAATAGTTTTTGTCAAAAGTGAAATCATTCAGTCGTGTCCAACTCTTTGCGACTTCATGGACTATAGCCTACCAGGCTCCTTCGTCCATGGACTTTTCCAGGCAAGGACACTGGAGTGGGTTGCCATTTCCTTTTCCATGGGATCTTCACGACCCAGGGATTGATCCTGGGTCTCCTGAACTGCAGGCGGACTCTTTACCATCTGAGCCACCAGGGAAGCCCTGAAATTAATGTATAAAATTCATCTGAAATACTAATGTGAATGGGCCAAGAATATCCAAGATATATATTGAAAAAAAGAAAATTATTTAAGCAAGACCATTTCCATATGATTATAAACACATATATAGTGGCAATAATTTAGCCCATGAGTCTTGTTTAAAAATAAGAATATAGGGACTTCCCTGGCCGTCTAATGGTTAAGACTCCATGCTCCCAATGCAGGGAGCATGGGTTTAATCCCCATGGGTTGGGCAACTAAGATCCCACGTGCTTCGTGGTGAGGCCTAAAAACATAAATAAAAAATAAGAATATAGATTCATGGAATAGGCTACAAAGCTCAGAAATAGATGTAAAAATTTAAAGATTGTTTATTATGAATTAAGAGGAAACAAAAGAATTATTTCATAAAAAGTTGCTGAAATAACTGGCTTACAGTATGAAAATGTAATTTAATTCACATTTTTTACATGAAATATAAATTTTAGGCTAATTAAAAAATTCATCTAGAAACCTAACACAGAAAATAATTGAGCGTCAGATAATTTGGAAGTATAATTTTCTTGGATCTGAAACACTATATCATGTAATAGCAAGAGAAAAATATTCATATACTTGACTTTAAAAAAAAATCTATACCACAAAAAGTAAGTGATGACTAAAGCTCATGCTTCAGGAAAAACATTTGCAACAGGCAAAATATTAGCTGCAAGATATGAAAGCTAGGAGAAAGTAAAAAAAATATAGAGACACCAAAAAATAAGCAAGCAAAAGTCTATATTCTCACAAGAGGAGGTTTAGAGAGTTAGATATAGATATGGAAATATATTCAGCTTCACCAGTTATCAAATAAATACAAATTAAAGTGAAAATAAGGTTTGTTGACACCTAGTGATGGCGATACCAATTAACACAACTTTTTAGAAAGCAATTTGACCGTAATATTTCAATAGCCATAAATAAATTCATTCTGTTTGAAGCACTGCTTCCAGGCTTAGACTTCTGGAGAAGTAATTTGAAAAAAGAAAAACCATTTGCGTATGGATGTTATTGTTGGGACATGTATAGACTTAGAAACTTGGAAATACCAAACTGTTTGGCAATAAGAGGTAAGGTTAAGCAAAATAAGGTCTGTTGATAGAATAATAGAATGTCATGTGACAAGAATTTCTTTGGCCCCATGGACATTACAAGCTAATTGACCCTCAAACTTTGTATTTCATCTGACTTTTTGGGTCTTCATTCCCACTTTATCCAGCTTAATTCAAGAGTTATTACCTGGTAAGCATTCCTACTTTGGGTTCCTTAATCAAAGGCATCAGCTTTTTAAGCATCCTTGCATGGAACCTAAGAAAATGAAAGTGTTAGTCACTCAGTCATGTCTGACTCTTTGTGACCCCATGGTCACCAGACTCCTCTGTCCATAGAACTCTCCAGGCAAGAATACTGAAGTGGGTTGCCATTTTCTTCTCCAGGGGATCTTCCCAACCCAAGGATCGAACCCAGGTCTCCCACACTACAGGCAGATTCTTTACCATCTGAGCCACAAAGGAATCCCAAAGTCGCATTAAAATACCTTCAACTCCCTGACTATCCCCTTCTTCCACTGCACTTGAAAAAAAAAAAAACAAAAACATCTCCTATTTTCATATCAGTGTCAACTTCTGCCCCATTGTTCCCCTGAAACTAAGCTCCATAGAGGTATTCCAGCAGACATGTCAGTCCTCATCTTAATTTGACCATTTGGTTGCGTTCTTTCAACTCTTCCATTGCCTTCCATGGCGCACACTCTCCATAGTCTCTTCCTTCTTTCTTGACTGTGCCTCAGCCTCCTGTTCTGGCTCCTCCTCTCCCCGGCTCTAACTGTTGGAGTTGCTCCAGCCCCAGTTTTGGCTCTTCCTTTATCTGCCTCTACTTTGTCCACAGACAATCTTATCCACTCCTATGGCTTAATATACCATCATATGTCCATGTCTCCTTTATCTCCCACCCAGATTGCCTCTGAGGTCCAGACTCGATCTCTCCTTAATTATCACACAAGTACTTTACTGAACACAACCAAGGTTGAAGTCTTGACTTTTCCATCCAAAGTCTGCCTTCTGCCCCATGTGTCCCATTGCAACATATGGCACCTCTGTACATTCATTAGCTCACCAAACCCTCCACAGCCAGATACCCCACTTCCAGTCCTGGCCCATGCTACCTTTAAAGGGTATCTTGGAGCTGTCCGTTCTTTGCATTTCTGCTGTACCATCCTAGCCCAGGCTTCTAGCATCTCTCTCTTTCTTTTTAAAGTTTTAAATTTAATTACTTTATGATGTTGAGTTTGTTTTTGCTGTACAACGGCGTGACTCAGCTTTTAAGTATACATATATCCCCTCCCTGTTGAGCCTCCCTCCCACCCCCCATCCCACTCATCTAGGTCATCACAGAACACCGAGCTGAGTTCCCCGTATTATTCAGCTGCTTTCCGCTAGCTGCATTTTACCACATGGTAGTGTAAATATGTCAATGCTATTCTCTCAGTTTGTCCCACTCTCTCCTTCCCCTGCTGTGTCCAAAAGTCTGTGCTCTATATCTACATATCTATGCCTTCCTTGCAAATAGGCTCATCAGTTCCATTTTTCTAGATTCCATATATGTGCATTAATATAATGATATGTGTTTTTCTCTTTCTGACTGACTTCACTGTGTATAATAGGTTCTAGGTTCATCCACCTCACTACACCGGACTCAAATGCATTCCTTTTTGTGGCTGAGTAATATTCCATTGTATATATGTACCACAACTTCTTTATCCATTCATCTGTTGATGGGCATAGAGGTTGCTTCCATGACCTGGCTATTGTAAATGGTGCTGCAATGAACATTGGGTTACATGCGTCTTTTTGAAATTTGGTTTTCTCATGATATATCCCCATGAGCTGTTTTGCTGGGTCATATGGTGGTTTTATTCCTAGTTTTTTAAGGAGTCTCCATACTGTTCTCCATAGTGGCGGTATCAATTTGCATTCCCACCAGCAGTGATCTTAATCCTGTGTGGCCTTCCAGTTTTAGTCTAGTGAGTTTTTCCACGCTTCTGGTAGACTGTAAGCATTTTGAGGGTAAGGACTGTAGCTGCTTGCTTCACTGACATGGCGAATACCTTATGTAGCACATGGCACATCTTTAAAGTTTGATACATGTTTATGAAATAAATTAATGCAGTGATTACAGTTATGTAAATGCTATGCATATGAGAACTGAAGGCAATGTGGAAAATTTAAAGGAGCTACTGAAAGTAGGACTTGAACAAACTTTCTGATACTTTTGTTATAATGTTTGACCCATGAAATCCATTTAAAACATACTTGTGGACAGGGTAACAGGTGATAATGATCATGCACTGAGATGTACAGTGCAGGGAGAAATACAAGGGTGAAACATGAGTGAGACTTCAGCCAGGTGTTGAGGATGAGCTGGTGGGGATGGTTGGGGGTTCAGTGCTATGTTCAGGTCCCCTGGAGATGGGTGGACTTCAGTTCACCCATTGGAAGTTGGACTGTAAGAACTTGTGTTCTTCCAGCATGATTCTGTGGCTCAGAAACAGAACTTTTTTAAAGTAAAAAGATAGGGGTGCAACCCCAGGGCAAAAAAGAGCTTATCCAAGGACGAGAGACAGTGGGTTCTTAGCTGGCCCTGCAGACTCTGGGCGGAGATCAGAAGTATAACAGAAGATGGACACCTCCCAGTGGTCAGAGACTGTCACTCTTCATTGTGGATGATCAGCTGGTCGCTTCCTATGTTCCTAGCTTCCTGATATTTAGCCCACCTCCCCACCAGATCCCCTGAATACACCTGATGCAAAACGGGTCTCCCATTGACATATTGTTTTCTTTAACTTTTTTTTTCTTCTTCTTCTTCTTCTTTGCTTTCTTTCTCCTCCTCCTCCTCCTACTCCCTTTTCCTCCCCTCCCCGCAACATCTTCCCGCTCCTAAACATAAACAAAAAAAATTGTGTTTAGATGAGAATACTTGATTTCATAAAGATACAAAATCTCCTAAAATTAATGCATATATTTAGTACAATTCCAGTTAGACTCACAGTCCCATCACTCTATTTGGATAAAATGATCTTAAAGTTCATATGGAAAAAATACTGTCTAGAAAATGCTAAGAAAATTATGAAAATAAAAACAGATTTACCATAAATATGTTTAAGTCCACAGTCTTGAAAATTTGATGACATCGGAAAAGAAGTGGATCCATAGATAATTGGAGCAGTGCAAAGTTCAGAAATAACTTGTAGGCATATGATGATTTAATATACGAGAAAAGTGGTATTCCCCTTCAGTGGGAAAAGGAACTTTGTTTTAAATAAATGCTTGCGACCTAGCTGATTAACCATCTGGGTAAAAGTAAAGTTGAACCCATATCTTACCCTTTGTATAAAAATAAATTCCAGATGGATTAAAGATATAAGTTTAAAAAATAAAACAGCAAAGATGGTGAAACAATATTATATTTGTCCACAAGCAAGAGCTGTGAGGAACTTTATAACCAAGACAATAAACTTTGTATTTGATCATAAAAACATGTTGTGTAGGGTAAAACACATGCAAACTGCAAGACAAACAGTATATTAGGAGAAAATGTGTCAGAAATATGACAGATAAGGATGAATATACTATACAGACAGCTCTTAAGAACTGATAAGAAAAATACACACAAAGCAGAAAAATGGTCTAAGATATGAATATGCGATTCACAATAGAGGAAATTAAATAGCCAATAAAACATCTCTTTCTTTCCATCAGCAATCCAAGATATTCTCCTGTGGCAAGTCAGAAAGTCAGTTCCTTTAAGGCTCTAGGATGGATAGAAATGATGGAAGAACACCACATAATTTGGTTCCTGTAATTTTCTTCCCCACAGACGACAGTGACAGTGATGGGAAGCTTCCCTCCAAGGCACTCAGAGTGCGTGGTGAAGAACGTGGACACGGGCAGGATGCTCTGCAAGGGTGAAAGCATGCACAATGAGACCTGCACCTGCAACATCCCGACCAGAACAACTTACAAAGGCAAGTAGGCGCCACTGTTTTTTATTATCATTCTTAGAAAACGAAGAAGGCAAGAGAACCTCCTGAGCCCAGAGTGTCCAGGGACACAGGTTAAATGGCAGAATTTGGACAGCCTCACACTATAGACTCCCTCTCCCCCACTCCCTGCATCCTCCGTCCGTCCCCCTCACCTTTGCTCCCCTCCTCCTGTGGCCGGCAGGCCCCCACTATCACCTGTGGCTGGAGAAGGATGGAGGCTGGCAAATCCCCCCTCAAGTTGCTTAGGTGAGTGGCAAGCCAGAGACCATTGAACCTGACCCTTCCTGGATGGTTCAGATAGTTAAGGGATCTGAAAAACTGGGAATGCCCTTGGTGAGACGAGGAAAGGAAATGGCCAATATGTTTTCATCTTAAGTTCATTGCATTCGTTCATTCATACAGGAAGCATTTATTGAGCATCTGTGTGCCAGACACTGTGCTAGGTGGCAGGGACACCATGTCCAAAAGAGACTGATCTGTCCTTCGCTCACAGTATTTAGAGCCCCTTGGGATAGCAGCAAGTGGCCCGCCATGTGTAGCATGCAGGGCGCACAGCATACTGTGGGAAGGACGTGAGAAGGACACCTAGCTAGACTCGGGGGGGGACAGCGAGAGGGCAAGGAAAGCTTGGAGGATGAGTAGGGTTGAGGACAAAGGAAAAGGGGAAGAGTATTCCAGGCAGAGCCTAACTAGTGTGACTGACCAAAGGAAGGAAAAAGCTTTGTTTGAGGAGCCAAAAAAAGGCTCTGTGTGGCCAAGTCAAATGGGGTGGAGAGTGAAGTGACAGAAAAGGGATACCAAAGAAGGTACAAAGTGTCTGGCACAGAGCAGCCATTGATGATCAGTACATTTTTGTTGAATGAATGGCCCCCAGTGGAGAACAGGGCTGGGGGAGGGAAGGGCCGCCTTCCAACAGGTCTGACGGAAGGGAAGCTGTTGCAGTGATTCAGGTTGAGGGGACTGAGGGAGGAAGCAGATGGAGGCAGTTAAGGATGGAGAGAAGGGGATGGATTCAAAGGATGCTTAGGGATGGGGTGAATTGGGAGTTTGGTATTGATACATATATACTATTGATATTATGTGTAAAATAGATAACTAATGAGAACATACTGTATCACAGAAGGAACTCTGCTTAATGCACTGTGGTGACGTGAAGGGGACGGAAATCCGAAAGAGAGGGGATGTATGTATATATTTGGCTGGTTCATTTTGCTGTACAGTAGAAACTCACCTAATGTTGTAAAGCAACTATGCTCCGATAAAAATTAATTAAAAAAAAAAAAAAGATGGCTAGGAGTTACAGTGTATGGACTGAGGATTCATGAATTCCTTTGGGTGAGAAAGACGGGGATTCAAGTGCATGGTTATTAAAATGCAGGTCTTGCTCACCTGGAACATAAGCTTCTGAAGTATTTGAGATCACTGTGAAAAGCTAATTGATTGCATTCTTAAAATTTTTTTAATCTTTGTTTTAAATTGAAATGCAGTTGATTTATAATGTAGTCAGTTGTTTTTAAAGCCTCTGTCAGTTTCTCCCAACCATTTGTCTGCCCTTTTCTCTGGATGCTTTATATATTCAGAGCCAGCAAACAGACACACTTCCTACCTCCTACATTCAGCTAGTCAGTGGCTGTTACCAAACCTTTGTAGTAGCTTCATCCCTTTCACCAAATTCTGTCTCCCTTCTGCTTTGAAGTCATCTCTTCCATAACAACCTTAATGGATTCTGCTCTAATCATCCTAATCATTCCAGTACCCTCTGCACCCCCCCCCCCCACATGCACCCCAATCTTGGTATCCAGGTGATGCATGGAACTTGAACCACTCATAAGGTATTTCCTTGGCTATCCTGTCATGGTGATGTTTCACCTAAATTTTTTTTGTCTCTTCTAGAATAACTGAATGCTTTCAGAGCTTAGATCATATATTCTCGTTTCCTTGTGAGATTTCCCAGGAGTGTTTTGTGCACAGTTGATATGCAAGAAAGTAGAACTCTTGCTAGTCTCTATCACTGGACACTTGTAGATTCCAATGACATGTATGTTTCACTGGGAGTCCCTCAGTGCTTACTGTCCATACATTCATTCTATTAACAGTTATCAAGTGTCTATTCAAATGCTCTTGCTGAGAGGTCATGCCAGCCCTCCAAACCTCCTTGTCTTTGGAACAGAGCATTATCATTTGCACAGAGACCCACTTTATGTGAGCAGAATTTTATGTGGCATCCTGGCTTTCAGAATGAATGTTCCTGTTGTAGAGAGGCCTCTTAAAGTAAGGGTTCTCAGACTTTTGGAATCATGCACTGATCATATTTCAATAGGAAAACTAGAGGTACCAACAAAGTTAGGCCAACTTATTAATTTGTCAAGGAAAGACTTTTCATTTTTAAAGTATCATCTGCTCCCCCCCTTAATTCATAAAAGGAAGAAGATACTAATACCAAAGTGGGTGACAATGAAAATATCACAGGGTAGCCCTGGTGCCTAGACACAGTGGGATTTGAAAGGTTCCACCCTGGCCTGTTGCCCCCAAACCTGGCAATACGCAATCAGTAAGGTACATGGGGAGGATTGCAAACGCAGATTCCCAACACACCCCAGGCCTGCTAAGTCAGAATATTTAGGAACATGGCTCTGGAATCTGTATTTTCATCCATTTCTCAAGTGATTCTGATATACAACCAGATTTAGGAATCATCTTGGATAGAGGATATAAGTTAAAGTGATACGGGAAATAGGCCGTTTCTCTCGTGTTGATTTAGCACACTGTTTATCATATTACTCTATTCTTTGGGGGTTTTTCTAACCAGTGGGTAGGTTTTCAAAAGCAAATAAGAAACCCTTCATCACAGATTTGTCAACAGTTGACTCCAGGAAGATCATGGCGCCCAGCCCACAGGAGCCACACTTCGCAGTTTGCTGTGTAAACATTTGCGGTGTGGGTTCTTCTGAAGGTGCGGGGTTTCCTTCTTCTCTAACATTCTGGTTATCATGTTCTAGACAGTTCTTGCTCAGTGACTTGTTTTATTCTTATGCTGTGGCCAATTACAAGCTGAGATAGTGATTCTGGGGAGAGGATGAGCTGCAAATGGGCTGTGAAATGGCTTTTTCCTAGTGATTATCCATGGGAGGCCTGGAACGAGGTGGGCTGGGGTCTGTTTGGAGGCTTGTGCTGTGCACTTCGGCTGCCTGACGGGAATGGCCCCGGGGAAGAGGCCACATACTGATGGAAATGTTAGCGAACAGCTGGCACACTCCACCCTCTATGTGGAGGAGGCAAAAAATATTTATTTTCTGTATTTCCAGCTTTGTTCGATGATAGCAGGGCTTCGCCGTCAATGACTGCTTTTCCCTCTTTGCTCCAGATGTTTTAGTTGTCAACGTGACGTTCTCATTCGGTTCCTGGCGTGTGTCAAAGAGATTCAACTTTACCAACTGCTCATCATTAAGAGAGTAAGATTTTATTTGAAATGTAAATATTCTCTCATTGGCTTTAATTTATTTATTTGCTTTACTCTCCGATTTCCTAAAGACCTCTTTTGTGGAGGAGAACTTTCCAAGTTGCCCTTTGGAGCGAGGCCTAATGGGAGATAGGAGGGCCCCTGAGCTAATCAGCTGGCTTGTTCAAGCCTCACTGAGAGGTAATGCAGCCAAGAGGCAAACGACTATGCCTGGGTGTATTTTACCCACAGGGAAATACATCTTCCTCTGACCCAGAGGTGGCCTTGAAGCAGTAGGCAAAAGGGTGCAGCTAGCGGATCAGAATGACTTTGGGAATTTGAGTCAAGGAAGAGAGTGGAACATGAGATAAGAGGAAGTCACAGTCAATGACAAGAGGAGGAGGAAGTCTCTGTCATCAGAAAAACAAGCTAGGACCTCCCCGGTGGTCCAGTGGTTAAGTGCCAGTGCAGGGGATACAGGTTCGATCCCTGATCCAGGACGATTCCACACACCTCGGAGGAAATGAGCCTGTGTACCGCAGCTGCTGAGCCCGTGTGCAATGAGAGAAGCCACCCTAACTAGAGGAAGCCCCTGTGCAGAGCAATGAAGATCCAGCACAGCCATAAATAAATAGAGAAATAATTTTTAAAAAAGAACATGTTAAGCATGACCCACATTTTTGTACCATGCTCGGCCCTGCTGAGCTGCATACCCCACTGAATTAGGACCACACCTTCCTCTTTGCTTCTAAAGCAGAGCGAAGGCAGAGAAAAGATGTTTCACAGATTCCTGGTTTTCCAACTGGAAAATGGGATGGACATTTCCATGAAAATGATAGGAAGCTGTCCTATTAGTGATTCTGTAGTTCTTTCAATGGTTTGCTTGACCAATTGGATGAGTACCAAATGTAGGTTTCTTTGGGTCTGGCCCGGAAACCATTGTTTCTTCAGGAAAAAGGCATCGAACTCGAAGCTGAGTAGGCAGGCGACCCTACATCTATATGGACAGGAGCTGCCAGACTTTACCACCTCAGCATTCTGAAAGAGGGGTTGAGTTCAGTGATTTCTAACAAACAGAATGAATTCAAGGAGGGGAAAAGCTAAACTTGTTACTGAAAGCCTCAAAAGTCCATGAAAATGGGGGGGACAAAAGAAAAAGGGAAAGAGTTAAATAGAATTGTATAGCTCAAGGAGAGTTTAAACATAATACAGCTCCCCACCTCCAGTTGTAAAGCCTGGCGAAAAGAAGTGACTTGCCTCGGGTGCACAAGGAGGTAATTAAGAACCAGATCTCAGACCCACAACTCCCCAGAGGGTGAGTGCCCTCCCTTTCCTGCCCTTTCCCTGGGTACCTGCTTCCCTTTTGAAAAGCACTTAGTAAGGTCATCATCACACCTGAGGGTTAGCAGGAGGAGTGCAAGTCGCAGACCTGCTTCAAGTGCACTTCGGTGGCCTGGTAAACACGTAGGCAAGCCTGCGCTTGCTTGCTTTCTCCCACCAAAACTGCAGTTTCTGTGGGTCAGGGCCTCAGGGTGCCTTGGCATCTCTGGAAGCATATCTGAAATGCCAATATGTGTCCTCTCCCTGATCTGGTCCTCTCCTTGTCCCAGAGGCCAAAGCTCTCTCTTGCTTCCCTTAGCTACATTTCCAGACCCACTTCAATTTCCATTTTTATCGTTCTTGCTTTAACACTGATTATCCTATTAAGTGCTTTTCAAGTCTTCCGCTGTTATCCATGCATGGTTGTTTGATTAGTAGACACAATTCTTCCTTAATTTGATTAAAAAGCAAACAGTGGCACTCTGTTTCCTCTGCTTGCCAAGGTAGCACTTTTGGTTTCCCGTCTTCCAGGCATTGGGCAATGTTCCTGCTCCAGTGAGAGTGGGCTTGTGGGGGGTGGGGAGATGAGTGTCCAGAGGGCAGCTTACCTGAAGGTAAACAAATAGCAGAACCGAATGCAGAAACAGATTCAGAGGGTTCCTGTCATCTACCAATGCAGCAGGTGACCCCAGCTTCAGGTTTCCATGGCAACCCCCCAGCAAGCATCATGATGGTCCATCAGCCCCGAGGGCTGCCCAGAGCAGGGCACAAAGTCAGTACTCTTTCCCTAGCCTGAAAGAATGGTCCTCTCTCCCCTGGGTTCATCACAGTCTATCTAGGGACTTTTTTTTCTTGTTTTTAATGCTCACACACAGCATCACAGAGGGAAATTCTAGGATGTGTGTTTTCCTAAGAATGCAGGAATTACGTTGGTTTTCTGTGTTGCCAGATGTCCAGGATGTATCGGAACCGGCTGTGCTTGGTGTAAAAGTGAGAGAAAATGCATCCACCCCTTCACAGCTTGCGACCCTTCAGATTACAAGAGGAACCAGGTAAAGTGACTTTTTTTTGGTATTACAAAGTTTCACCGAAAATAAATGTTTGTGACCACCCAGCCCTAGCCTGTATTTTGTGTTTATTTCAAACTCTGAATTTCCACCCATTGGGATGTTGAAGGAATGTCCTTTGTTTCAGGACCTCTGTCCAGTGGCTTTTCAGAAATGGACACCACCCAAAACAGCAGGAGGAGGAAGATTCAAGGAGAATATGAGTAACAGAACCACTTGGGGCTTGCAGGTCAGACCCTATTTTTGTATTGATGCTGGGAAAATCCCCCTTTAAATGACAGTAACATCTGCTACTTTGGGTTCCTTTTAAAAATTCCCTATTTTGCTTTCTACCCAAATTCCCTGTTTTCCCTTTGGTTTTTAACCAAGTTTCATTTAATTGGCTCAGTACATCAGAGGCTGCACACTCACATAAAAGAAATTAAAAATCTATAATTGTGAAAAATGATGTTCTGGTAGAAGTGAAATTTTAAATCTGACGTCGTGATCTCAGGAAGAGTTAGAGGGAAGTCTAGAGCACATAGCACTGAGGGGATTTCAATTTTTAACCACATTTATGATTGCATTTCTGAGGGGTATACAAGGGCTGGGCGTGTCTATGCAAACCATACAAATGAATCTCTTTGAACTGTTTTTCTTTGTAGAGACTATCTAACCAGTAGTTAATAGTGTCAAAACAAAGAGTTGTTTCTATGTAATAAGTATACATTTCTCTTCATGCCTCAAAACTGTCCTTCGTGAAAAAATACTTTTCATGAAAATTTCTTTGGAAATTCCTCTTATTTTCTTCATAGTAAGTCACCAAGCTCAACTGACAGACATGATTGAAAAGAGAGAATATAACCAAGGAAACATTTCTGGGCAGAACATAATTGATGCACTTAGCGCACAAGTGCTGGCCTCCTTCAGTCAGGGGAAGTAAATTGAGCATCTACTATGCAGTGAAAAGCAAAAAAGGACAAGTTCTTATTCTCATTAACCTTGGGTCTAGTGGGAGCAAACAAATTAAACACAGTAACATGTTTTGTTTTTAAAGGCTCAGTTTTCCATTTCTTGACTCATCTGTGGCTTTGACATATCCATTTGCTGCCACTTAAGGTCAAGTGCCAATATAAATAAGTAGCACATTTTTAATCACCACCAAACAGTTGAGAGTAAGTGTAGGTAAATTCAGTAACAAGCAGAGGGAATGTGAATCAAAATGGATTATGAAGTTAATTAAAGGCATTAGAAAAGCTTGCTGTGCCAATATCTTCAGACTTTTTAAGTCTTCAAGGTTTTATTAAATGATGAGCCACATTACTCTTCTCATTGGTTGATGAAACTAAGGCATAGTGACAGGTGTTTAAATCAAAAAGGCAGTGGCTTTTTTTAAAAAATTAAACTTCTCTTTTGCTATTGTTTCAGTTGTTTTTTTTTTAATTGGTCAAATACATATAACACAAAGTTTACCACTTTTAAGTGTACAGTTTAGTAGTGTTAAGTGCATTCACACTGTTGTCAGTCATCACCACCATCTATCCCCAGAACATGTTTCAACTTGCAAAACTGAAACCTCGTACCCATTAAACAGTAACTCCTCATTTTCCCTTCCCCTCGGCCCTGGATTCTGCTGTTCTACTTTCAGTTCTCTATGAATTTGACTAGTCTAGGTACTTCAGATTAGGTGGAATCAAACAGGCTTTGTCTTTTTGTGACTGGCTCATTGTGCTTAATATAATGTTCTCAAGGTTCGTCCATACTGTTAGAATTCCCTTTTAGGTTGAATAATGTTGCATTGTTTGTATATATTACATTTTGTTTATTCAGTCATCCATTAACGGACACTTGGGTTGCATACATCTTTTGGCCATTGTAACTAATACTTCTATAAATGGGTGTGTACAAATACCTCTTCAAGACCCTGTTTCAGTTCACTGTACTCAGCAGTGGAATTGCTGGATCATATGGTAATCCTATCTTTAATTTCTTTAGGAACACCATTCTGTTTTCCTTACCTCTCAGCCGTTGTACATTCCCACCAGCAGCATTTCAGTGTTCCAAGTTTTCCACATTCTTGCCAACACTTTTTTTTTTTTAATAGTAACCACCTTAATTTGGTATAAGGTGGTATTTCACTGTGATTTTGATTTGCATTTGCCTACTGTTTACTCACACTGAACCTCTTTTTGTGTGCTTGTGGGCCATTCATGTGCTTCTTTGGAGAAATGTCTATTCAAGTGTTCTGTCTATTTTATAGTCAGATTGCTTGCTTTTTTTGTTGTTGTTGTTGAATTGTAGGAGTTCTTTATATATTTTAGATATCAGCCATGTATCAGATATATGATTTGCAAATATTTTCTCCTATTCCATAGATGGCCATTTCATTCTGTTGATTGTATCCTTGGATGCACAGAGGTTTAAATTTTGTTCAAGTTTAATTTATTTTTTTTTTAATTTTGTTGTCTGTGCTTTGGGTGTCACATCCAAGATATCACTGGCAAATCCAATGTCATAAAGCTCTTATTCTAAGTGTTTTATAGTTTTAATTCTTACAGTTAGGTTATTTGATCCATTTTGAGTTAATTTACATATATGGTATAAGGTAAGTGGCGAACTTCATTCTTTTCTGTGGATATCCAGTTTTCCAAGACAACTTGTTGAAAAAACTATCCTTTACCCCATTAAATATGTTTTGCACCCTTATCAAAAAAATCATGTGATCATATATGCAAGCGTTCACTTCTGGGCTGTATAGCCTATTCCATTGGTCTATAGGTCTGTCTTTATAACCATAAAATACTGTTTTGTAATAAGTTTTGAAATCAGAAAGTGAGCATTCTGAGATTTTGTTCTTCTTTTTCATGATCATTTTGAAAGAAAACTTTTTATTCTGAGATAATGTAGATTTGTATGGAGTTGTGAGAAAATAATACAGAGAGGTCTCATGTATCCTTTACCCAGTTTCTCCCAGTAGTAACATCTTGCCAAACAATAGCACAATATCACAACTAGGATTTGACCGTGACAACAGTCAATATACAGAACAACTCTGTCACCTCAAGTTTCCCCCACGTTGCCTGTCTGTAGTCATACCCACTTCCTCCTCCCCTCCCACTTGCCTATTTCTGATCTCTGGCTACCACTAATCTGTTCTTCATTCTGTAATTTTATTATTTCAAAGATTTTATATAAATGGAATCATCCAGAGGTACCCTTTGTGAACTGGTCTTTTTAACTCAACATAATTCTCTAGAAATTCATCCACATTCTTTTATGCATCAATAAAGTGTCCCTTTCTATTGCTAAGTCATGGTTCAGGCAGTGACTTTTTACATTTTTAAAGAAAAAAATAAGGTTACTGCATCCTGGTTTCCTGTATTATGTCTTCTTGAACCTTTTGACATATGTGGTTGAAAGAACTGGGGTCACCAAGGAAATAGGCGAAAGCTGGAAATAAACAAAAGCCCAGACCTGTCTTCAGGGCTTCTCCATGCATGACCTTTGGTGAAAGACATCTTTTTGATGCTGAAATGTTTTCTTTAAATACATGGGGATTCCCTGGCTGTCCAGTGTTTAGGACTCTGTCTTCCACAGCAAGGGGTATGGGTTCATCCCTCAACTGGAGAGTTAAGATCTGGCAAGCTGCATGGCATGGCCAGAAATGAATGAATGACTCCATTCAGAATGGACAACCGGGAGTGGAGCACTGTCACAGGTTGGGTTTCTCATGCTCTGTGATACACTGCTGTCTTTTCCTTATTGTGTGGAATGTGTAAATCCAGGTTTCCAGTTCGGCCCCCAGGCTGGCTTTGAATGAGGCACCGAACACTATTCCTAACAGAGAAGCCATCAGAGGCTTTCCTTCAGCGCATCTTCCACATCACATATGTACTGAGTGCTTCCTGTGTGCCAGGCATGGGGACATGAGATGTGAATGAATCGTACACAGTCTTAGGCCTCCTAATGCTGAGCTTGGATTGATGATCCCTACAGGTATCATTTGTGCACCTAATATATACCAATACACAGAGCTCCATGGATACCATGAGGAGGACACACAGGAATCAAGAACATCTCTTGTCATCAGTCTTAAGAATCTTATTTGCACATAAGCACATAAATAAGAATAAAAGATAGAAAAGAGTAACCTAGGAAAGGTACCAGGAAGTTTACAAACCCTGTGATCCTCTTTGTGCCCGGGGCCTTGTCTTAGTCATTCCTGATTATTTAAGCCCAGGGCCTGGCAGTTAAAAACACTTCATCAGCGCGGTTGGTTAAGTCTTTGATGAACGGATGGATGGATTGACGCAAGATGGCAGGCAGCCAAGGGAAGAGACACCTGGAGACGGAGTGGGTCTTCTAAGCATAGGGCCCAGCCATTGCAAAAGCATAGCGCATCATAGAAAATTCCAGGGTACCCCTTATGGCAGACCCCAAGTGATTTAGTTTGGCTGGAGCAGAAGGATGCAGGAAGTTATGGGACAGAACAAGGCTGAATTAACCTTGGAGCCTGCATCTATAGAGCTTTACATTTTCTTTTTCAGCAGCAGTAGAATGTTCTTCAAGACTTTTTTTTTTTTTTAATGCATGAATGAACTCATCTGAGAAGGAAATGGCAAACCACTCCAATAATCTTGCTTGGAGAATCCCATGGACAGAGGAGCCTGGCAGGCTATACAATCCATAGCGTCTCAGACAGTCAGACATGACTGAAGTGACTTAGCATGCATGCAAGCATGTAGAACTTATGAGAAAGGGTTCCTGGGTGACCCCTATTTGGCTTTGTTGTCCTCATCCTGTTTCATGAGCCTATGAGCCATCCCTTGACCACAACTTAAAAACATGTACTGCCATGACAGGAATGGACTTAATGATGTCAAACCAGAAAGAACCCCAGGGGGCTTCATTAGGAGCCGCATCACCAGAACAGGGCAAGTAGCTTAAAAATCTATCAATATATTTGCCCTTTGGATGGAAAGTATTTTCAACTGTCAGGGCCAGTCTCTGTCAGAAACAGTTGGCCTTGTCACCCTGCCCTAACCTCTTTTCCTTCCTTTTCTTAATAATCTTATATCTGGTGCCTCCACCTGCCCAGAGAAGAGATGACTGCTCTATCTTTCCTGTTCTCAAGGAAAGGTTGTGAAGGTCTGTGATATGAGGTGGTTCTAATATTTGTTACACTTATCACTGCCAAGTAGAAATGCATAATACAAAGCCATGTCCTCCTGCTCTCGGGAGATTCATACT